TTGGCCCAGAAAAATTGGCCCAAAAAATTTTGGTCAAAAAAAGTTTTCGGAAAAAAATTTTGGTCAAAAAAAATTTGGCCCAAAAGTTTTTAGTCAAAAAAATCTTAGTCAAACTTTGTTCAAAAAAATTTGGCCCAAAAAATTTAATCAAAAAAATTTTTGTCAAAAAAATTTTAGCCCAAAAAATTTTTGGAAAAAAAAAATTTGGTCAAAATATTAGCCCAAAAAATTTTTAGTCAAAAATCTTGGTCAAAAAAATTTTGGTCAAAAAAAATTTTTCGCCAAAAAGTCAAAAAAATTTTGGCCAAAAAAAATTTTCGAAAAAAATGTGGTCAAAAAAATTTTCGGAAAAAAAAATTTGGTCAAAAAAATTTTGGTCAAAAAAAATTTGGTCCAAAAAATTTAGTCAAAAAAATTTTGGTCAAAAAAATTTTAGCCCAAAAAATTTTCGGAAAAAAAAATTTGGTCAAAATATTTTGGCCTAAAAAAAATTTTAGTGAAAAAAAATTTTGGTCAAAAGAATTTGGCCCAAAAAATTTTGGTCAAAAAAATTTTGGTCCGACTTTGGAAATTGTAAAATAATTTTACTGAAAATTTCCATGTGACCGTTGCTAGCTTGAAATTTTCAGTAATTATCATTAAAATTTTGGTCAACAAAATTTAGGGAAATAATTTTTTGGTCAAAAAAATTTTAGTCAATTTCAGAAAAAAAAAATTGGAAAAAAAAATTTTTGGCCCAAAAAATTTAGTCAAAAAAATTTTGGTCAAAAAAATTTTAGCCCAAAAAATTTTCGGAAAAAAAAATTTGGTCAAAATATTTTGGCCTGAAAAAAATTTTAGTGAAAAAAAATTTTGGTCAAAAGAATTTGGCCCAAAAAATTTTGGTCAAAAAAATTTTGGTCCGACTTTGGGAATTGTAAAATAATTTTACTGAAAATTTCCATGTGACCGTTGCTAGCTTGAAATTTTCAGTAATTATCATTAAAATTTTGGTCAACAAAATTTAGGGAAAAAAATTTTTGGTCAAAAAAATTTTAGTCAATTTCAGAAAAAAAAAATTGGAAAAAAAAATTTTTGGCCAAAAAAATGTTTGGTCAAAAAAAAAATTGGCCCAAAAAATTTCGCCCAAAAAATTTTGGTCAAAAAAATTTTCGGAAAAAAAAATTTTCGGAAAAAAAAATTTGGTCAAAAAAATTTTGGTCAAAAAAAATTTAGCCCAAAAAATTTCCGGAAAAAAAATTTTGGTCAAAAAAATTTTTAGTCAAAAATCTTGGTCAAAAAAATTTTAGTCAAAAAAATTTGACCCAAAAAATTTAGTCAAAAAAATTTTGGTCAAAAAAATTTTGGTCAAAAAAATTTTTTGACCAAAATTTTTTTGACCAAAATTTTTTTGACCAAAATTTTTTTGACTAAATTTTTTGGGTAAATTTTTTGGGTCAAATTTTTTTGACCAAAAATTTTTTTGACTAAAATTTTTTTGACCAAGATTTTTGACTAAATTTTGGTCAAAAAATTTTGGTCAAAAAAAATTTTGGCCCAAAAAAATATTTAGTCAAAAAAAATTTGACCCAAAAAATTTAGTCAAAAAAATTTTGGTCAAAAAAATTGTGGTCAAAAAAATTTGGTCCAAAAAATTTTGGTCAAAAAAATTTTGGCCCAAAAAATTTTGGTCAAAAAAATTTTGGCCCAAAAAAATATTTAGTCAAAAAATTTTGGTCAAAAAAAATTTGACCCAAAAAATTTAGTCAAAAAAATTTTCAGAAAAAAAAATTTGGTCAAAAAAATTTTGGTCAAAAAAAATTTGGCCCAAAAAATTTAGTCAAAAAAATTTTAGCCCAAAAAATTTTCGGAAAAAAAAAATTTAGCCAAAAAAATTTTGGCCTAAAAACAATTTTAGTCAAAAAAATTTTGGTCAAAAATATTTGGCCCAAAAAATTTTGGTCCGACTTTGGAAATTGTAAAATAATTTTACTGAAAATTTCCATGTGACCGTTGCTAGCTTGAAATTTTCAGTAATTATCATTAAAATTTTGGTCAAAAAAATTTAGGTAAAAAAATTTTTGGTCAAAAAAATTTTAGTCGATATCAGAAAAAAAAAAATTTTTGGCCAAAAAATTTTGGTCAAAAAAAAAATGGCCCAAAAAATTTCGCACAAAAAATTTTGGTCAAAAAAATTTTCGGAAAAAAAAAATTGGTCAAAAAAAATTTAGCCCAAAAAATTTTCGGAAAAAAAAAATTTGGTCAAAAAAATTTTTAGTCAAAAATCTTGGTCAAAAAAATTTTGGTCAAAAAAAATTTGGCCCAAAAAATTTTTGGCCAAAAAGTCAAAAAAATTTTGGTCAAAAAAATTTGACCCAAAAAATTTGGCCCAAAAAATTTTCGTCAAAAAAATTTTGGCCCAAAAAAATTTTTCGTCAAAAAAATTTTGGTCAAAAAAAATTAGTCAAAAAAAATTGGTCCAAAAAATTTTTGGCCAAAAAAATGTTTGGTCAAAAAAATTTTGGTCAAAAAAAAATTTGGCCCAAAAAATTTGGCCCAAAAATTTTGGTCAAAAAAATTTTCAGAAAAAAAAATTTGGTCAAAAAAAATTTAGCCCAAAAAATTTTCGGAAAAAAAAATTTGGTCAAAAAATTTGGTCAAAAAAATTTTAGTCAAAAAAATTTTGGTCAAAAAAATTTTAGCCCAAAAAATTTTCGGAAAAAAAAATTTAGTCAAAAAAATTTTGGCCTAAAAAAAATTTTAGTCAAAAAAATTTTGGTCCGACTTTGGAAATTGTAAAATAATTTTACTGAAAATTTCCATGTGACCGTTGCTAGCTTGAAATTTTCAGTAATTATCATTAAAATTTTGATCAAAAAAATTTAGGGAAAAAAAATTTTGGTCAAAAAAATTTTTAGTCAATTTCAGAAAAAAAAAAATTGGGAAAAAAATTCTAAGTAAGAGACGAATGCAGGAAACTGGGGAAAAATTTTGGGAAAAACATTTTGGGGAAAAAAATTTTGGGGAAAAAATTTTGGGGAAAAAAATTTTGGAGAAAAAATTTTTTTAGAAAAGAATTTTGGGGAAAAAAATTTTTTAGAAAAGAATTTTGGGGAAAAAAATTTTTTCAAAAAAATTTTTGATCAAAAAAATTTAGGGAAAAGAATGTCAAAAAAATTTTGGCCAAAAAATTTTGAGAAAAAAAAATTTTTAGAAAAGAATTTTGGGTAAAAAAATTTTGTAGAAAAACATTTTGAGGAAAAAAATTTTGGAGAAAAAAATGTTGGAGAAAAAAAAATTGGACAAAAAAAAAATTGGGTAAAAAATTTTATGAGTAATAAATTTTCAAATAAGATTATAAATACAAAGATTTAATAGTTGAATCATATCAAAGTGGGCAATTAAACATTTACTTATTCACCAATTAACAAAATATAAACTTAACATGTATTTTTACTTTAAATGTTTAATACTAAACATTGGTACAGTTAGAAATCTATTAGATAAATAGGGATTATATTACGACGCGCAAAAAGGGGTCTACGACACAAAAAAATTAAAAACAAAAACAAAAAAATTTGGAAACGTATGATTTAGGGTCTGCAAATAGTTTATAGAATAGAGGATATGACGAAGTATATCTGGCGTGAACATTTATCGATCACATTCACATTCCAATGAACATGATGCTTGTTACACCTTCCTGACATTCGCACGTCATTTCCTATTCTATACTATTCGATGCCATCAATATCCTCAACACCGGCGTTCATCCGGACAAAATGTAATGATTTCTGACACTATACGCAAATAATTATTAAATAATTACAGTACATCAACATATTTTTTATTAAGTTTAACGGAAAGAGAAGTTTGAATCGTTGTTATATAGCTAAGAAAATGCTTAGAGGTCTCTTCCTTTCTAAGAAGTCTTCGGAGCAAGCCTCGGAGAAAAGCTTGCTCTCAGGTTTGAGAAAAAAAAATTTGGAAAAACTTTTTTGAGAAAAAAATTTTTTAGAAAAAAAATTAGGGGAAAAAACATGGTCTGATTTTTTGGAAAAAAAATTTGGGGAAAAATTTTGAAAAAAAAATTTGGGGAAAAGAATTGGAGAAAACCATGGACTATAGTCTTTGATTTTGGGGAAAAAAATTGGAGAAAAAAATGTAGAAAAGAATTTTGGAAAAAAAAAATGGGGAAAAACCATAGTCTTTGATTTTTTTGGTCAAAAAATTAATATAATGGACCATTAAACATTTACTTATTTACCAATTTACAAAAATATGAACTTAACATGTATTTTTACTTTAAATGTTTAATACTTTGGAACAGTTAGAAATTTATAGAAAAATAGGGATTATATTACGACGCGCAAGGGGCATACGACACAAAAAAATAAAAAAAAAACAAAAATAAAAATATTTGGAAAGGTATGATTTAAGGTCTGCGCTATTACTTGGTAGGCAGGGCGTACCTACATATGATAGGATGTACCTACCATATGTAGGTGCAACCCTACCTACCTACATATGGTAGGTACACCAATATGGTAGAGGTCAATATACAAATATTTACAGACTTACAGCTGGGTATCTCGAATTCCGAGATTCTTAACTAATTTAAGCTTAAATTACTGGACTATGTCTCCACGAAAACCGGCGTTGAAAATTACTGGAGGTAAAGATCTACAATGCTACTTTTTTCCTTCTTCGATTATTCATGCATTAATTATTCTTACCTCCTAATTAGCTTCATTCGCTCTCCATCTTTCCACAGAGTGCAAGTCTATGAGGACTTCTTTAGCGAATGTGCCGATGGCTTTTCCGATGTCAGCATCACTTTCTCTAGGTTCATATCTGGTATAATTTTCCTACTTAGCAAAGCCATTCTCCTTAATACCATCGCGTTGTGCACTAAATCGCGGGCCCACAAAAAAAATGTGCTATTCTTCAATTTTTCTGAAACTCCCGGCGAGTTGTGCTTGATACAAAACCAAATTCAATATTTCTTCGAAGAGTTATATAATGGCTTTTATCAACTCGCAGTCAAGCATTCACTATACATTTGTTGATCATATTACTTTTTATTATTTTCCTGCAAAGTTCTCATAATCAAATTCATAAAACATCACTATAATAATTAATCGCACTCTGTAAAAGGTATTTTTTTATAATATATAGTTCTTAGTATTATATTTAGTGTTAATAATTACTGTATAAAATATGTATTCATATTAATAGTATTTTACTAATGTTTATGTCGATCTATATTTACTTTGTTAACAAAATAAAATAAAATAAAATAAAATAAATGAATTATATGTACATTAAAAAACATTCATTTTATTTAAATAAATATGGACAATTTATAATTATGATTATGTTTTAGCAATTGTAAAGTTTCAGTATTTTTAACGCAAAGTATATTGCAAATATTATAACGGATAATGGATTAAACAGTAATTTTTATAAACAAGTTACTACACTTCTATATTCAAAATACCAAAAGCGATTACTCCACAAATAACACAAAATAATTTTGTTTTCATCGAAATTCATTTATATTCAAATATTTAATAATCAAATTTAAATTTATTTAAAAAATGTGGCCTTATATGTTTTTGGCTTATTACCTTTAAATGTTCATGATTTTCTCCATTAGTTCAAAGTTTAAAATATTTCATTATAAAATTTTATTCAAGGTGAATTCTTGATAATACTGGCATCTAAGTAAATAAAATATATTTTGCTTGCAATAAATCAATGGTCCAAGTACAAAGTATATAAGACAAATTATAGTGCATAACAATTATTTAATATGCTATGCTTAAAAACACTAAACTGCCTATATTAGTAACTTAGTATTTAAAAACTTATTATGTAATGGCAAGTAATAAAAATATTTGCATCATAGTTAATTTTCATTGCACTATGTAAAGTATTGTTTGAACCATAGTATTTTCATTACAGAATACATAATATATAAAGTAAGGTAAGTTACTCAATTCATACCACTGTCTGAGTCGGTTTAATTTTGTTTGATAATTATAAATTACATAACATGGTACCATTAAATAGAACTCTTTATTTGCTTAAGCAAACGTTTGAAATTATATATTTTTTATGTGGTATTTTAGTAAGTATGTTCGACTTGATAACTAATAAGTAAAAGGTTGATCTCAGATTGAATTGTAAGTAGTTTAAAACGTACGTACTATTAAAAAGGACTAGGTGACATGCACATAAAAAATACATATCTTGATAAATTATTAAAACTTTTACTAATTGTTAATCATAAGCTAACTAAATAAATTTTCAGCATCATTTCCTCAGGAGGTATGACTTGAGTAAGCATATCCAACATATAATGATCTCTATTTTGATTTTTTATTTTAATAAAAATGCTTAAATTGAACAGGTTGGAATATTGTGAAACATGTAATAACCGTGACAGATATTAATCTAGTTAATAATGTAATAGTATACTTTTATGAAAACTAAATGTATCTTTTACTTTTCCATATTTCTTAAACATATTCATCTCTAAATATCAATGAATATCAGGATAATATACTTAGAAATTGATTAAAAATGTTGTATAATGCATTGCCTATTGAAAAATATAGATTCTATTAACGTACTTGCAAATTACAATTAAATATATATATATATATATATATATATATATATGTATGTATATATATATAATGTAACATGTATAATATTTATATCGCACACCATAAATTTTTAAGTTTTGCATTATTAAAGCTCTATCAAAAATAATCTGTTACACTATGTTTTTTCTAACTAAATAAATAATGGCACAAATATATATACTTACGATTAAAAAGCTACCTTAAAGAAATTTTCACGAAATTTTCATCGCTTACGTTTAATTTATTATTCGAGAAAAATATTCTTCTCCAGTTGAAACTTAGTATTGATACCATGGTTGTCTACGAACCCAGCGCAGTCTGTGATTTGTTTGATCAGATCTGATTTTGATGCTTGCTCCTTCAGCAGCTCGTACAGTTTCTTTGACCTGGAAACAGAACGTTATATTTAAGAATAAATCAAATACAATTCACATTTATGGCCAATTAAAATTTAATTAATCACTTATGGAATATAAATACTGAAAATCATTTTTGTGCAAAAGTAAAAAAAAAATTTTGTGTTAAAGTAAAAAAAAAAATAGTAAAATATTACATTAAGTACATCTTTTTATACAAGGTGTCCTAGAACTAAATGTCAAGCCAAAACGTGTTGATAGTATTGAATTGAATTAAAAATTGATTCCATGTAGTTTAAAAATTTTGGTCACACTACCATTTTTAGTTATTCTGGTTAATTTTTTGTTCATTTAAACTTTGAAACCGTAACCGTAAAAAATATTTCTAGGACCAGTAAAAATTGTGTCACAATTGACTAGTTTTATAGAACTAAAACTATTCATAAAATTATGAATATAAAATTTTCAAAATTGAATTGAAAGACCGTCAATTAAAATAAATGTACTGAAGTGCCTGTACTAAATCTAATTCTTTTCATAATAGTTGCAATCACTTTTATCACCCTGTATGTATATATAAAGCTATTAGTTATGGTAAAAATAAAATTTAGCATTAACTATATCATCAATATTCACTTACACTTTGCATAAGGTTTTGTGCATTTCCAACAAGCATATCAGTGGCCTCTTGATCTTCCTCGGTGCCTGAAAAATTTATAAAACATAATATTTCATGTATAAAACTGAATAAATTGAATTTATTCAGTTATTTACAGCACAGCATTTTACCTTGAGCACCTAACATTGTAGCTTTGACTGTTGAGAGTATCTTGAGCTGTGTACCAATCGTTGGAATTCTTTCACAAACTTGAAGCAAATTCTGCATTGAATTGAAAATTATTAGTCAAAAACAATTAAAAATTATTAGTCAATAGTAATGTAATTAATAAAAAGTTAACTAGGAGCAGCATTTTGCCTAAAGACAAGTTCCAGATATGTGTGAATAATTTCTTTTAAAATATTGACTATAAAACATGAACTGTTTATTTCGAAAATGAAAGTTACAATAAATACTGAAAATGCGAATTCTAAATATCTTACGATCTGATTTTATAATATCATTGCAATAATTAAATCCAACCTATTTAACACATAAATCCGGGCGATCTTGACCAAAAACTAATCAGCACGATTCTCAACGATATTTAAATTTTCAACTCCGTTTCGGAATTTTTTGCAAAAATTTTGACGAAACATTTTGCACTTTTATAAAGAAACGGCTCAGCCGATGGTCTCGCAAAACTAATCAACGCAATTTCTTATTGAGTTTCATCAAATGTTCTTACAATTTTGTATGTCGTTTTAGAAAAACTTTGACAAAGGGTTAGCTCTCTTTCTCTCTCACCCTCACTCCGTCTCTCTCTCACTCTTTCTCCCTCTCTCCTTCCCTATCTCTCTCTTTCCCTCTTTTTCGCTCTCTCTGTCACACATTTGGTGACGAACAATTCAAAATTAGAAAAAATTGGAAACTGGGATTTACTGGCGAAACCAAACATCTCCCTTGGTCCTTGGACTTCCAAAAATATTGTCACTATCACTTATGATACACTTTCTCGCTTAAGAGGCGTTTTTGTCCAAACCCTAAAAAATCGTATTAACGGGGTTTTAGTAAATTTGCAACTCACGGTTCGAATTCTCTTGTCGGTACATTCACGGGCCAATTGTTTCGCCAAACGCGTCACCTCTTCTGATGCTTCAGCGATTGCTTTTGCTGTGGCAATCAACTCGCGTTTGCTTCCTGTAAAACAAATTATTAAACATTATTAAATTAAAATTTAACACTTAAAGATCCGGAAGTGTTTCAAATTTTTTTTGACAGTACAAACTAAATTTTGTGAAATAAATACTGAAATGGGAACTCTTTCTTTGATTCGTGTATTCCAGAACCACGAAAAATCATGTATAAAAAAACAAAAACATGAAACGGAATATAAATAAGAGGCAGAAAAAAATTACGAATATATAATGACAGAACTTATGAATATGGCAATATTTATTGTAATAATTTTAATAGAATAGTCTTGGTGCGAAATACTCGCCATTGGAACCAATTGGTAAAAGTATAATGACCCTTAGACAAGCGTTTCCCTTTAAGAGCAAAATATATATATATATATATAAATATAAATAAATATAAATTATATATATATATTTGTATGTACATATAGTACAGTCAAATTATTCATGATATTCTTACCTTTAGAATCGGATCGAACAAGTTGTGATAATTTAGCCATGAGTATTGCCATCTTTTTAGCTGCAGCAATAATTTCGTTGTCCTTCGACGACCACTGCCGCACTTCTTCGTGAAGACCGTGAGCGGCCATCTATTAGAAATAATATAAATATTTAATACATTGTTAAAATTTAATGATCGATATATATATATATATATATATATATATATATATATATATAAAGAACAAAAATCAAGATTATTCGCGGTATATTTCTTAACCGAGTATTCAAGGGTTGATCATCTCAGGAAACTCGGTGGTGGCTCATTCTCATTCTGATAAAATTACATTAGATATATTTTATTACCATTCTTACCATGAAGTAATGGACAGCTCTATCATTATCAAATATAATTTTTTAATATCAAGCCATCATATGAATACTCACCATAATCGGTTGATTTGGTAATGGTGCCGACTTGAATACTTCGTCTTCATCATCTGTTTCTGGTGGAGGCGGTCTGCTTGGTGGAGCCTCTCCACGTGGCAGTGGCGGACGTGGTGGTGCATTTTCTAATAAACATTTTGCTAATTAGAATAAATTAAAAATAATAGAAAATAGTTACATAGATTTGTTTTCGAGCTATTAACTCTTAAAGCAGCCGCCCAGTAGCGCTACCGAATGAATCAGGATCAGCAACTTATTTTAGGAGTTTTCAATAATTATCAATAAAAATTTATGTTATTAAAAATTATGCTTCTAAATAATTTACTCGGAGTGATAAATCTTGAAGCAAGGGTTGACACCATGGATGCCATCAATAGGCGAAACTCGTTGGTAAAGGGTTAAAAATACACTAGGAAAGATTATATTGTATCTAGTAAATTTGGTTTTGATTAATATAGATGTATCTTGTATATTTATAATTACATAATATCAAATTGATCAATATTTACCGCAAAAAATACCAAGAATTTCTAACAAAATGTATCCAAAATTTTAAATTATGGTTTACTCTGAATTACATCTACAATTGTAACAAAAACAAGTTATAAATCTAGCTAAAATATAAATAAAAAGAAGTAACTTTGAAATTAATGAATACCAGACCAACATTTTTTGTTTCGAGGTGTGAATCAACCAAATGATATCGAAATCCAACCACATGTACGAGTTGGACACGTAAATTTAACCTATACATAAATCAAAAAAATCCCTTAATATCATAGAACTCTTGATGACTACTCACCATCAGTAACTAGATCATATGAATTTGTATAATGATACATTCCACGCAAAACGTGATTTTTTCCAGTCACTTAAGCAAGACATGGAATGAAAATTCATAAGATAGTACGACTTACAAAAAATTATGCAAGTGTTATTGTAAGTATTTGGAAGCAATGGCAATTGTTAGTTATCTAATTTTAATAAGTTAGTTTTACATAAATATAATATCCATATACATAAAAAAATCATGCAAGTTAACTTTACCCGATATTATCTTAAAAATACATACAGGAGAATTAGATTGAGAAGATGTAGCAAAAACTATATAACCCAAAATGCAACATCAAAGCATTTAGTAAATGTCAACTACTTGTGAAAATTGGATTATCATTCAATAATTCTTAACTTAAGCACGGTGTTTTATTTATGCATTATTTGAACAACGATCAGATTTTAAGGATCCTATGGGCTGACATAAAAATAGTTGTCCCATTTTAATAATGAAATTTAATATCATAATTACATACTATGGGTAAGGGCTATCTTCATTTGGAAAAATATTGTTATCTATATTTCCAAATGAAAACCGATGTCACTATGCTGACATCAAGCTGTGCGAAGCCCTGTATGCAATACCATAGCCCTAACCACTAATCAAAAAAATTTTTTTTTTGAATTTCAAACTGTTCATATACCGAGAAGAAATTATTTTGACATTGTACAGCTTGTTTGGAAAGTGAACCAGTAGTTGTCCTATCATAATCCTGACATATATTATATGGCTAATATGATTTATATTTAATAGTATTTATATGCACTTATGTCTCATCAGAAAAGCGATTTCCCTGAGATTATATTTGAGATCTTTAAATTCAAGTGAGAATTTAATATATTTCTAGATAATTTCCAAAATGAAAATTAATTTTTATTAAATGATAATCCATTACACAATTAATATTAGAAACTACAAATATATTTTACATGCAGACGACAAATGGATATGTAGATATATATATTTACAAATACATTTCGAATAGAGACAATACACGACAAAACCATCGACTTGGAAACACAATGTTCATTCTTAGCGTCACAGAACATACTTTGTAGATAAATTGCTGCTAATAAAAATGCACTAAAATATTATTAATACACGTTGTTACCTCTATCATACTCGCGTGCCATTTCGTCATCCGAAGTCAGTTCACGGCAAAGTAAATCAGAACTATCGCCTACATCCAGGTGTGAAATAAAATAGTATTACAGATAATTGCAGAATGATCATCAGAAATGGTGCAAATTAATAATAATTAAATGATAAAAAATAAATATTTATGAAGCTTGTTTAAACTAAACGCGCCGGATCTTCGTAAGTATTGAACTAGTGTGATCTAGTATGATCAAAAAAAAATTATTGAACTTATGTGTTAAAATTTGTATAGATGTATCTGAACCGGCTCGTTAAGTTTAGTAATGACAATGCTTTTTCATGAAGTATTTTACACTTTCAGGTTGCAAATTAAAAAAAAAGTAATAAATATATGTATCAAAGTGTATAAAGCCTATAAAATGTATTGAGGATTTTGCAATCCTGGTTCTACAAGTCACTTGAAAAAACTTTGCCTAAGAAACCACTTTCAATATAGTATTTGCTCCATAAATTTAAACATGGACTTACAAGAAAATCGGGGTTACTTAACAAACCCCTTAAAATACTATAGGTCTATGAGAAGTGGTTTAATTATTCTTCGACCAAATTTATTGAAATGACCCAAAGAAACAGAATTGCAAAGTGCACCAATGTCCAAAAACTTGGCACGCCCTAAAAATGATGATAGGCCTACTATTTCATGACTTAATTAGAAAGTTCTGAATTTCGCCAAACATGTCATTCATAATAAATATAAATAATAAAATATGTGAATAAATAAGAATATAATGGCAAAAAAGTGTAGAAGTCTAAAATCATATAAAAATGTATGGAATTATAGAAAAAGTCATTTTAATAACCCTTTCGCCACGAGCGTCGCTTATAAGCGCAATCCTCTTGGAGATGCGTGTGATCCGATAGACGACATCTATGGCAATGACTCGAAGTGTAATTTTTAATTTTTAATTTTCAAATACATTTGATATTAATTAAAAATTATTTAAAGCAATGTAACACCGGCGAAAAAAAATCGACGAAAAACACTGCCATAGCAAAAGGGTAACTTTAAAACATCTTTTTCCATGTGTAGAAATGTTTTGAAAATAAAAAAAAAAACGATTGAAGTTAGACTAAAAATAAATAAAATTTTCAGAATGGCAAAGCAGAGAATATAGAAAAAAGTGATGGTGTAAATGTGAGAATATTTGCTACCTCTGGCCCATTTTGGTAAAGGACTGACCGGCCTATGTTTGCTGTCTCCCAATGGTGAAGCCGCAGTCAATCTTTGCTCTGGTTCGGGGGCGGAACGCAAGCACTCGCCAACTGAGTGGGCCAATTTGGTTAAACAGAGAAAAAAGCAAGCATACACCGAATCATATAATCACCAATCATACCAAAACGCCTACTTGCTAGTAATACTTAAATTCAGTGATTCTCTATTTTTTAGAGATAACGACGACATTCAACTGGTGAATTTAGAAGTTGGCAGTACACCAACAATAAAATTAATTCAGTATACAGTCAAAACTACGATAAAGCGGTATTCTGGGAACGCGGTCTTCGTACTAAACGGACCAAAATTACGACAGCCCTCCGATAACACGGTACAACACCCAATAACATGGATCATGTGCAACATCCCAGAAGTTCCTTTCGCGCAAACTAGAGATTGTTGTAAGAGGTTTTAATATCGACTATTTTATCTTTTATCTATGTGTACGATATCGGATTTGGTAGTGTCATATCAGTCTCACAAAACGTTAGTACGAAAAAAATATATGCTTAAATTTTTTTATTGAAAACAGTGTTTTATATAAGCCTTTGTTTCATTTTATCATCATATTCTTATATGAACTCTTTAATTCAATGAGTAATAATGTATTTCTTTGTTATCATATCCTTATGTAAACTTTTGATTTCAATAAAAAATAATTTATATATTTTTAAATATCAATATATGAAGTCTTCAATTCAATAAAAGAAAAGTATGTCTTTTGTATTTAATAAACTCCATGTAATGCGATAGGAATGCTGTGATTACAAATAATTACGAGTTTCCTAATTACACGGTACGCACTCACCGCGTTATCGGAGGAATGACTGTACATATGAATTACAGCGCTTTTTATGTATTTAGCATAATACAACAAAATTACCCGGTTGAGAATCCCTGAACTAATTCTAACACAATGATTCAAATAATTATTATAGCAACTCTACTCGACTAAATAGGTGATACTTATCGTTTTTTTAATTAATTGCGTAATAATTATTTTCCCAATTTCAAACAAAGTATATAATTGTGAAATTAAAAGATATTAAACGAATAGTATAGAATATAGGTTTACAGATGTGTTGAGTATGAAAATATTAGATTGCTGTTAAACTACTGAATACATCGTTGTATATATTAAATCACAAAAATAAATAACATGAATTAAACCGCGTTAATTAATAAATGCTCAACGACTAATAAATTTCCACTACTAGAAAAACATGCTGATGATTTTATCGAACACACATATGATACATTTCATTTCTGACTTATATTTATAATATACCTCTGTCTGCAAAGTAGCTGTATTGCTGTGGAGGAACACTTTCTACATCTGTAATAATTGCATTTTAACATATTATATTATTATATACATATAGACAAGTGTGCAATTGAGTGGTTCGCTAAAACTAAGTTTCTAAAGCAATTAGCGCAAATATATGAAAGCAAGTATTGTATAAGCATTGCTTGTCGCGATAGCCACCGCCCACCAAGTTATTTTTGTTAAAAACGTACCCAGATTATTCATAACCATAGAAGGTTCTGAATTGCCAAATTCATTTCATAAAGCAGTTGTGTAACTGCAACTTGGTTACATTATTAAGTTCAATTGTACAATTCGAAATAATTTTATAAAATTGAAATTATTCAGATTCTATAAAGTTATCGAAATTTCTATGTCAATAATTTACTACAAACATGTATTAAAAGTGCTTATCAAAATTCTTGCTAGTGACCAGATACTTATGAATATCAACACCACATTTGTTAAACACAAAAATAAGAAGAAGTGATTATATACCACAATATTGTTAACATTAATTCACAATATAGGAACTTTACGCAGATCATTCATTAATATTTACAACTTTCTAATAATACGAGAAGGTAGATGGTGCCATCTGATGTCGGTATGATTTCTCATAAAAGAAATTACTTGGAATTCAAAACAACGAACTTTTACTGATTGTAAACACTTGAAGTTATACTTACATACATGTCTAAACACGAAAAGCAGTTTACTATCACTGCATGAAGGATGAGCAATGGGCAAACGCAATGTACAGACATGGAAGAGGCATTACTTATTGTATTGATGTAATTTAAAACAATTTATATATGCAACTAAAATATTTATAAAACTGTGTATAGGTTCATATTTAACCTAAACAAAGCTGCTAAATATTGCTCATGAAAAAACATCAATCTACTGAAAAAGCATATGCCGAAACTAGATAAATAAAATTTACCTTGTAGATACAATTTGTTCATATCTGGTGGTGGTGGTAGATCCGGTGTAACCATTACTGCACGACGAACTTTTCCAACGCTGTTTAGCAACTAGAAGAAACGAATACTTTTAGTATTAAAATCATAAGTACAGAAATCAATAAAACATTTATTAAATAATATTACGTTTTTATTGGTGTCTCTCCACCGAGATACTGCTGACTGATCAGATGGATTGAGAGCAACTTGCTTAGCATCTTGAACCATTGGAGCAACATCTATTTGAAATAACAAACATGTATAATATTGCAATATATTAAATACATTGCATGTTTATTTAAACTTACATCCCAACATTTCGTCAGAGGCAGTATTCACATTAGAAATAAATTGTGGATCTTCAGAGTTGTCGCTTTCTTGTTTCGCAACAAGCAAAACGCGATTTGCCAATCTAAAGCAATTGATGATATATGATAGTGAAAACGTAATTTACTTTACGCATTTGTCAAATTCCAAATCTCTAAATTATAAAACAAGCAATAAAAGTGTTACCTTGCAATGCTCGATGTGTTATCCACCATTTTCTGAGGTAGTTTGTTTCTTATTGCTTCTTCGCATAGGAATGTATGTTTTTGCATCTGCTCCTCTATATGTCAATAATGAAAAAAATATGTAATTATTGTATTAAAAAAAAAACAAAAATAATATAAATCTATTGAAGTCAGTCTACCTGAAGTTTTAATAAAGTCAGCAGGATCTGTTGCTTGGTCACATAGATTTCGAACCTTGATAATGGTATCTGCATACTGCTGCCTAAGATTGTTTAAATGTTCTTCAGCTGCCTTACTATCTGGGTAATTCATTCTAATGCGACCAGCAGAAATTAATTGGGGCGTCAAGCTATCAACCTATAAAATATAAAACATTTTAATATTTTATGTTATTTATGACATCACCATATATTTTCAATAATTACTTGTGAAGCAGCCGACAGCAATGCCTCGGCTATTTTCTTGTTGCCGCTAGATCCACCAGCTGCCACCATTCTACTAGTTTTAGATGCGCGATTACTGAAGGCTTGAAGATTATTTGCCTTTTCGGTGAAGTTTTGTTCTCTTCCAGGAGTGCCTGTTATAACAACATTAATTTAATAAAAGAGAAATTCATATGAATTACAATGATAAATTCGTGATTACCTTCGGGAACGTTAACAGCTTCGGTAAATTGCTTCAAAGGAGTCGAAATATCAATGAAGTCTTCAACAACTCGATTTACGACTGCGCTTTGAATACGTTCTTTAAGCTCATGCAATTTTTGAGACAGTTTTCTAAAAAAAAAAGAAATACGACATTGAATACTAAATAAAACAAAAACTAGATTACCTTTATCTAGAAAACAAAATGAATAAAAGTAATTACCTTGCCAGTTCTTGAGCTTGTGGCGAGTCTCCAAGTCCTTTGCTACATAAGCCTCCGAGCTGGTGAGATAAAGATTCTACTTCCTCACACAGTTGCAAAATTTCGGCTTTGTGAATACCCGGGAGACCCTCAGCGACCTAATATATTTATATCATTAATATTCCATCAAATATAAAAATAGTGTAAATCTTTCAGAAAATAAACTAAATGTGAATAAAAATAATGATAGAATACTACAATATCTGTAAAATGATTTAATACATTTTTAGTGTACATTGCCACTAAAATAAATTAAACAAAAAAATAGACATAAAGGCATAGCATATAAATACTTGAAATAAAAAATACTAAATGGCATGCTTTTAGAAAAAAACTAATAGTGCGCAATAATTTTAATATACAGTGTTTATATAACGAATGACATTAAATTCCTTTGCCACAAATCATCAAAATTAATTAATAAAATAATTAAATTTCTTATATACAAAATGCATATAGCATGTGCAAATTAATTACCTTTTTTTTACTCTAATTTCCAAGTAGCAAATTCAAAATGAACATTAATTACACTTATATACAATATACAGATTAGTTTTAAATAGATTTATGTACAAAATAATCGTGTATGTACAAATATATAACGGCGTCTAACATCATTAAAATAAACATTAATTTCTTTGAAAATTTATTATAAAATATACGGATTTTATAATAAATTTTCGACTAGGGCTTATATAATTTACTATCCTAATATTAAAAACGAAAAAACGATCAATGGTATCGTGTCGTAGTACCAAATAATTACGTTTTTCTATTTTCTTTTATCAGAAAAAGCAAAATTCAGCTAAATGAAAGCTAAGCCTATAGACGAAACGTATAAATTTTAGAATACATTATTTTAAATTCATATTTCTTTTGTTATACTCGATTTATAGACTTAATACATATGTCAACAACATCAAACTCAAATTTATACAAAATATGATATGCATTTTTAACATAGAATACACACAAATGGTATAAAAAATTTATATATTATATTTATGTCTTTATGTAATTTATTCCTATAAAACTGATTTTTGTTCATAATTCAGAAGCTAATATTTTACAGATAAAAATTTATAAATTTTTTTAAATTAAAAATCTAGTATTATTGTGAACGGAAAATCCAATACCGATTATTATTACATAATTTTTTTTAAAAAATATTTACATTACAAGTCGAAATGCTTGAGATTTAAAAACCAAAATTATTTTATTATTATACATTAGTTTGAGCCAATAAGTCCAATGTCGACAAATACTTTACACACGAACATATAAAAAAAGATTTATAGTACAAATCTATATTATTCTGAACCAATAAAAACCAATGCTGATGATTAGCATTTGTTAGACCAGTAAGTCCAACGCTGATGAAAACTCTACTATTAATACAAATATTTAGATATAAATAATTATTATTTTACCTTTTTTCCTTCATCAACAATAAGTGCTATAGCGCGACGTCCAAGACCGCGATCATCGCTGGCCGGCGATTGGAGCCATTTCCGAGCCTGTTCTAATCTTCCTTGTACTGTGTGAGCGGTCTGTTGCAAACCAGCCTTGTCTACCCCGAGGACGGCTCCCATGACTGCTTGTTGTAATTGCTACAAACGTAGATTTATGCAATATACTTAAGAAGAAAATAATTTTCCTTTATGATTAATTATCAGGTTCTTCCAACGCTTAAAAGGAACCACTTTCTCATGTTTTCAATGACATCACGGCCAAATGATGAGGGAGGGAATTGAAAACTAGTACCATGAGGTTGCTCCCAAAGGAAACAGGATTAAACCCCCCCCCACAACGTATCGCCGTTGTGATATTCAAAATTATCCTTCCTCATCAAACATCACGTATATTTTTAGTTACAAAAAAAGTAAAATTTTTGATTTTATATAAAATATTTTGATTTAAAAAAAAAAACTTTTAGAAAATAAAAATACGTAATATCTTATTATTCGTGATTTTTTGTCAAAAACCCCCCTCCCCTAAAACGAATCATTGGCATTTACTGAACCGCTATTAGGTTAGTGTATGGTTAACAAGTTAATCAATAATAATCAATTAAGCAATTATACTTTTTCTTATTAAAATAAGTCATCTAGTCATTCCAATTGTGAACATTTGCTTACTCAACAAAATAGTTCTGTTCAACAGTAACATGTGTTGTAGTTTATAAAAAAACGAAATACGGGGTACGATTCAGGCAGTGGTACGACTTCACCTTATATTGGATTTTTCCAGAAGACCAAGAAGTTTAAATACCTAGGTAGGTCCAATTTTGTATGGCAAAGCGCACATTCTCTTAAGTGTGCTTTTCTTTTGCAAGCATTTACGGTAAATATAAATCAAGATTTAACCCTTTCGACTCGGATGCCGCTCCGGTGGCAAATTTCATATAAATCTCGCAATTCGCGAGTGGAAAGGGTTAGATTTTGTGAGAATAAAGCAAAATAAGTTTACTAAATAACACAGACCGTCAGCTTTTCCTTTATTTCATCAGCAAGTGCCTGCGCTTGAGGTGTGTTTCCTTTACCAGCTTGGCGCAGTTCGCACAGTGCATCCGTCTTAGAGGCTATTTCTCCAGCTAGACGTGATATCTGCGCCGCGTCCTGCGGTAAGCAATGATCGCATACACGCCGAGCAGTTTCTATAATCTGTCTTAAGGATTTTTCTCCTACGCCTCCCCTCAAAGCGCGTGGATCCTGTTAAAAATGAAATATAAGTTCGTTATCACAAAAAAAACTTTTAGTTTAGGACATTGCTACTAACACTAAGCCAGTCTGTAGCAGTCAACATTTTTGTGTGGATGGCATTGCTTAGTTTTTTCAATACTGTCAGGTTGTCCAATTCGCTCTGGTCTTCATCATATGTAGTTAACTGTAAGACTCTGTAAAACAAAAATCATATTTTATATGCGTATAATAACGCAAAATAATATTACCAAATACCTAATAATCTCATGAATTTCATCAGACATTCTTGACGATAAATAGTTTCTATTTTCAGATGCCTCTTCCGCACCCTTGCCACCTTGATCCATAATGTGGATATAGATCTTCATGCTGCAAATCAAAATCGGAGCTAAAGTTTTGACTTGTTCAAGGCATCTAACTAAAATCTCGCTGTGAACCTGATGTGTCAATTCTTTTTCACGAGCACTCACTTCTCGTGAAACCTATCAGAAAAATTGCACGAATTAATGAAAATTACGATGAAAATACTAAATATATATATATATTACCTTGCTCAAGCACGGACTGAGATCTTTTAAGAATTGTATTAAATCTTCCATTGTGTCTATAACTTCAGCTACGGCTAGATAATCCAAAACCTAAACTTATATATAAAAATGTATAATAAACAATTTAAAGTATTTTCTAAAAGATATAAGGAAGACCATAATTTTATTTTTACCTTTTTGCATTCCCGCATAATTTTTCTGACCTCAGATTCATCAAAACATAGCAAAAGTGCTGACGTTCCCTGTAAAATACCCCTAGATCCTTCTATTAACTTTTTCCGAGCAGGGCCGGAATAAGGGTCTTGCTTAAGCATTGCCGAAGCGTCTTCGAGTAGACGGGAAGCCTCTTCGACCCGAAGTAAAGCACTCGGCATGTCTTGTTTGAGAATGTCATCCTCTGAGCTGTTTATAGTATCTCGCCCGACCTGAAGAACCATCGAGTTAAACGAATATAGTTTTATTATTAGAATTATTTCATAAAAAAAATTCTGAAAATTATACAAATACTACCTTGACTAAGTTTGTGACAGCTCTGGATACAGCCTGTACCGGCCGCTCCAGATCGGGCATAGCATTTCCATCTTCGGCTTCTTCATGTAGAATTACTAGTCGAGATACCTGAAACCAAAAATTATTAGTATTTATTGTATAAACATTTTCATAAATTGTAATGGGTCCAGTTATAATATAACAGATCTAAACAAGTGTCCAGAAAACAGATCTAAAAATTCCTCTGGGCATTTTTAAATATATCAAATGCAGATGGGCCAACCGTTGCGTTACCTTCTAAAAAGCTACGTATTTAAGAAGTATTATGTTGTTGTAGTTGTCTAGATTGTTGTTGAAAAAAAACATACTTTGTCAGTGATAATAATGGCTCATAAATAAATTACAATTGTTGATCAATGTTTTTATAGTAACGCCGAAATCGCAAAATCTTCTATGTGAAAAAACTATTTTCAGTAGCTTTATCAATGAGATAAATAATATTATTATTCCAATGAAAGATATATAATTGATATCAATACCTCGAGTGAGTAATTAAAATCTGCATCTTATATTATAATCTAAACAATGCCTATCAACTAAAAACAAGCGCGCCTTATCTGTTTTGATAAATTTCTAATTAATAAAGAATTTATCAATTTAATACCTGTTCAAACAAAGAACCGATAATAGAAATAATGGCATAAAACGAGCACAAAAACATGTTTTGCATTTCTTATTATTCTCGCAAAATTATTAAACAATTGTAGCTTAATTTCCGGCAGATAATTTGGGAACCGATAAAAAAAAAACTAAAGAATTTGATCTCTACCGAGTTTTATAAACGTTTAAAACATCAATAACCATTAGAACAACTTAATCAGTAATAAACACTTGAAAAGTTAAATCCAGCTTGAAGTTCGAAACAATTTGATATACTAAAAAATAATAAAATAAAAGTAAATATTGCCGAAGAAAATTAAACAAGTCGGTTGTTACAATAAAAGAAGACAAACTTTTAGTTATTCATACAAATAACATGATACAACAAACGTTCGAAAAACCCGTCCAGAAGCCATAATGCAAGCTAAATAAATGTATTTTAAGACTCGTTCACGGAATATCAAAGTTTCTCCGCTTTTGAATTTTACTGCATTTCAACATTCGTCCAGGAAAAGTTGGACTAGACAGAGGCGTTATAATTATACAGATATTTTTTTTATATATTTAGCAGCAATCAGACCTGAACGAGTCGTATGAGCGGATGTGCTTATTTCATTTAATAATGTGGCTTTATAGGTGGCAACCCAAACGGTCGCCCTATCTCTATGAGATAAATCTATTATTATAATTATTTTGTTAAGACAAGCAGAAAGTTCTTTGAATCATTTAAATCGGACGCTTAGTTCTCTCAAAAACTGCCATTTTTTACACATTTAGCTCTGTATCTTCGAAATGCCTGGGCCTGCCTTTTTCAAAAACTAACAAACACTTCTAATCATTAAAAATTGAATGTTTTTTAGATCATTCAAATCGGATGCTCCGTACTCTCAAGAACTCGATTTCTATTTTTTGCACTCTTTGCTCTTCATCTCCGTAACTGCTGGACCTGCCCTTGCCAAAAACTAATCAGCACATCTCCCTATCAATAGGAATCGAATGTTTTTTGAACCATTCAAATCGGTTGATCCATGCGACCGAAAATGTGACTGGAAATTTGTATCCATACATACATATACACACACATCCATATTTTCTGAGGTATGCCAAAATGTTCAGAAACCTTCAAAAAGTCGAGAAATGTAAAAAATTTCAATTTCGATTTTTGGCCCATTACAATAACTTACCCTACGGAAAGTTAAAAATAAGTATTTGTTAATTATTTTATTTTATAGCCCTGGTCTCTTCAGCACTTAGCCACTTACATTTCTTTATTCTATTCAAAGCATTTTCCATACTTCTTTTCATTTGTGTTACATACTTCTTATATAATACTCTATTCCATATTCTGTATCAAAACTATTTTTTACATGCTTTTCTTTTTACCCAGCGTCAAGACTCGATTTTGATACCTATTTTGTAAACTATAAAATCTCTAAAAATTTTGTCTACCTTTTTAATGCCAAATGTATGAAAATATATTATCGCATTGTCATAAAGTTCAGCTCTGCGCCAAACTCCTTTGAAATGAGTTCACAAGAAAAGCGATGGGCATTCTGCCAATGAAACACGCGCACAAACAAAGCTCGAATTTGACTTAGGCGTCCAGAGACGCTGCTTCGGTCAATAACTGCAGACGCATGCTTGGTGAATCATTAATTTTAGCTAATTACAAGCTGGATGAGACTATAAATATAGATATATCTTAGGGTATAGCACTAGGTGGACTAAAGCTATCTGATTATTCGATGGAAGACTCGAGAGGAATAAAACAATCCACTGAACTTGACAAAAATAACGACAAAATGATAATCCCGCAACGACTGACAACAACTTTTAATTTTTTACTATTTTAAATTGGTGAACTATATTATCATAAACTAGTGGGGCGCATGGCATCGTGCCTTAAGGCAAATTGCTGTAACTTCTCGTACCAAAAAAAATTTTTTTTTAAAGGATTAACATTTTTGAAAAAAAATTACTCTGAAAAAATGAGATTTTTGAGAAACTATAAATTTTTGACAAAAATTTACTTTTTTGAAAAAAAAAAAAGAATTTTTAAAGAAAAATTTATTTTGAAATATTTTGGAAATTCAAAACATGTTTTCAAAGCAATCGTACTGCTTTAACTGCATAGAGACGAAATATCGAAGCGCGTAAGCGCCGCGTCGCCGTCTAACGTACGTATAAACATTGGTACGGAACCCATAGGAATGTAAACAAAATTTATACTTATTGTTAAAATCTCTATAAAATATCTGAATTTGATGTGCATATGTCTAATGATCATTTTTGACAGACAAATGGTATTTTTTTTACTTTTTTTTTACTAGATCTCCGAAACCGCTAGATCTGCCTGAAAATTTGATCAGTTCTTCAACTTGTTAATAGAAGTAAAATGTTTTTTGAATTATTCAAATCGGACCGTTTACCGATCGAGTTACCGTTTGTGGCACTTTTTGCCCCATATCTTCGGAACGGCTAGACCTGCCTTCGCCAAGAACTAATCAGCACGTCTCCTTATCAATACGAATCGAATGTTTTTTGAATTATTCAAATCGCTTGATCCGTGTTCCCGAAATCGTCGACGAAAATTTGTACCCGAACACACTCACACACACACACACATAAACGAACACACACACATACACACACATACACACACATACATCCATTTTTTCTAAGGTATGCCAAAATGTTCAGAAGGTATTGAAACGTAAAGATATATAAAATTTTTCATTTTCGATTTTTTTCCGATTACTATAACTTGCCCTACGGAAAGTTAATAAATTAATAAATCCTACAGTGTTATTATTATTGAGTGTTTACGATATCTTTGACTTTTTTTTCATATTTTGACTCAGAACTTTACGTCCTACAAGCTGTTAGGCTGAACTTTCTCCTTACGCCATATTTTTAGATGGTAACCCAACCATTGTTGATCTATCTAAATACGATTATTAACTTCCCGTAGGGTAAGTTATAGTAATCGCAAAAAAATCGAAAATGAAATTTTTTATATATCTTTACGTTTCAGAGGTTTCTGAACATTTTGGCATACCTTAGAAAAAATGGATGTATGTATGTGTGTGTGTGTGTGTGTGTGTGTGTGTATGTATGTGTGTGTATGTATGTGCGGATACAAATTTTCGTCGACGATTTCGGGAACACGGATCAACCGATTTGAATATTTTAAAAAAAAATCGATTCGTATTGATAAGGAGACGTGCTGATTAGTTTTTGGCAAAGGCAGGTCTAGCCGTTCCGAAGATACGGGGCAAAAAGTGCCGAAAACGGTAACTCAGTTTTTAAGAGAACGGAGCGTCCGATTTTAATAATTCAAAAAACATTTTACTTGTATTGACAAGGTGAAGAATTGATCAAATTTTGATGAAGGCAGGTCGAGCGGTTTCGGAGATCTAACGAAAAAAGTAAAAAAAAATGCCATTTCGCGGTCAAAAATGATCATTAGACATATGCACATCAAATTATCAGATATTTTATAGAGATTTTAACAATAAGTATGAATTTTGTTTACATTCCTATGGGTTCCGTACCAATGTTTATCCGTTAGACATCGACGCGGCGCTTACGCGCTTTATATTTTGTTCCTATGCAGTTGCGGCAGTACGATTGCTTTGAAAAAAAGTTCAGATCTTCCAAAATATGTCAAAATAAAGAAAACATTTTTTTTTCAAAAAAAAAAAATTTTTTTTTTAAATTTTTTTCAGGATTTTTTTTTTTTAAAAAAATTTTTTTTCAAGAAAAAGTAATTCTTTGTCCAATTTATAGTTTCTCAAAAATCTTATTTTTGCAAAGTAAAATTTTTTCAAAAATGTTAATCGTTTTTAAAAAAATAATAATTTTTGGTACGGGAAGTTCCAGCAATTTGCCTTAAGGCACGATGTCCTAATTGCCTTAAGACAGAATTCCACTTACAGCTAGTTTTGTTATTAGAATTTATCTAATAGGGCCGACTTATTGTTCAATTTAATGCAGCAATACTTCGGATGGTCTATTTGCACTCGAGAACATATTTAATATCTATATTTGCAACTGAAACTTGATATCGTCACTGCATTTTTTTGGACATCAGTCAGTATTTTATTGCAACCCTAGATTTTCATTATTTAAGTACGTTTTATTAATATAGTTACGTTTGTCTATAGTAAACTATCTTAGTGAATCCGCAAACTATCTTATCACTTTCTCCATTATTGATTTACTCTGCTTTATTTCACAGAAAAAGTGAAAAATTTTTTGAGAAACGATCCGAGTGAATGAGATACTGGACTTCATAATTGGAAAATGTTCAAGATGAAGACATCAATCCAAGTTTATATCACTCATAATATCAAGATATAATATATCAATTAATTGTATTTATATTTTGATTTTATTTGTGATTTTGAAAGATTGTTAACTTAATTTAATATTGTAAAATTCTGTATCCGTAAATTAATATACCTACA